ATTGTACCTAATTTTATCATATTCATTTTTTACATACATAAGTATTTTATTTCTTTATTTTAGCATATCTATGTAATCAGAATAATATGAAGTTGCATTTATCTTTTTAGGAAATCTTATATTTTCCTAAGTATTTATCGAACCACTTACAATCTTTCTGAGAATAATAATATATAGACTGATAGCACAAAGTATAAAGAACATGGATCTTAACCCTTTATTTCATTTAATGCATTTTTTTGCTATGCATAGCAGTTTAGAAGATATCTTTGATGACTTCACAAGAATATGAAAATATAACATTATAATCAAGAAAAATTTTAATTTAAATTATTTTATCTTTCTTCAATATTTAATAATAAAATTACTAATCCCATAAAATATATCATTTTTATTAATTTTTGATACTTTATGTCCTTATATCTTTTAACAATTAATTTGATGAATGATATATATAGAATATCTAAGAAATTTGAAAAGTAGCTGGTATAATAAATAGAAAATTATTTCCATTTTAACGAAATATAAATTAATTGTTTTCCTATCAAAAATTTAATTATTTTTATTTATTTTTTTCAATTTATTTTAAGTCTAAAGTACTTGCTTTGGATTACCTCCAAATACCCACTGGTGTGTTTTTTATTTCTTATAAAGGATGCAAATAGGGTATTAGAATAGTTGGATAAAATAATTTGGATGATATATTAATAAATAATTTTTTTTATTTGGAAAAATTGAAAATTCTAAATCTCTATTTGTATTGATATTAATTTGAACAATCGAAAATTTCAAATAAAATTTAGATTATTTTATTTTTAAATATTAAATCAAATATATTATTTAATCTAATTCAATAATTAATTGATATAGAATTGAAATCGAAAGTGAAAAAGGCCATAAATGGACCTATTGGTTCATTAATAATTTATGTAGTATTTCTATATTTATATTTTTTTTAATTCTTATTAAATTTATAGATCACTCTATGTATATTTAGAAGTGCTCAAAACTAAAGCTTAGTATTGCTCTTTTTATTATTATTATTTATTAATTTATTATATAATAAAATTGTGTCAATAAATACATATTGTATTCCTAATAAAAATATATTATTCATAGATGATTAAACAATTATTTGCTTTGATTTCTTTAATATATGAATAGGTTATGATGAGACAAAATTGGAACCAAAACCACAAGAAGTTTATTAAATAATAATAAAAAGCGGTTTTATATTTATATAATAAAATAAGAAACTAATAAAATTATGAGATTTATTATACGAGTTGTTAAATGAATGGAGTATCATAGTAAAAGATTTTGAATTTAGAATATATGATCAAATGGTTCTGGTAATTAAATCAGATTAATAAAATAGATTTAAGTGATTCAATATAGAAATACTGTTTGATCAATGTCCTTTCTCAAGGCAGATTTATGTGATATATATAAATAACCTTTCCATTTTTCCATTGATATAATTGTAAATTGCTTATGACAAGTTGGGATTAAAGATATACTAATCCTCCTGTAAGAATAAATATTATCAAAGATTGTGGAGAAAAATGTTTAGAATGAGTAGAAAAATATAAATGTAAAAGATGCAAAAGTTATTTTTCAATTCCAAAAGTTATACTAAAGTTGGCCTTCCTCTTCGTTAGTTTAGATATGATTATAGTGGGTAAATAAGTAGTATGATTATAAACTTTAGTATTATTACCAACTTCTGTTGATAAACAGTAAATCCCTGCAAAACTGAATTATTCTTCAATATCATTTTAGAACTTGACCTTATAAAACAAGATATCTTTGATTTTTGAATCAATGAATCAAAAATGCGATTAATTACAGTATTAAATTTATCTTGATTTGCTTACTAATAAATTTTTCCAGATACAAAACAAAATATCTTAAAATTAAGCCATAAAATTATATAAAAAATTTATTATTTTGTTAAGCATCTAGCAAATCTTAAAATCGATTATTGAGTGAAGAAATGTTGAAATATATAACTTATTTTTAAGAGGGAATGCAAAAAATTATTATTGTTAACTCGAAAACCTTTTTAAATTTATGGGAATTAAATTTTTTAATAGATTAAAAGAAGCGGATAAGTATTTAATTAATAATGTAATATTGAATCAACTCAAAAAGATTATCTAATAGACTTTGTTTATTTTAAATAAACGTATTTGTAAACAAATCCATTAAAATTTTCCTCAGATATAGATTATCATCTTTAAAAATAATTTAATGATTAAACTTTAAAAATTTACCCAAAGAATTATTACTAAATTTAATTAAAAAATTTCTATGATGATGGATTTATATCATATGATGAAAATTTTTCATCCTTTTACAGTACTCATTTAGGATCTTATTCAGTTTGCTCCAATAATTATATATTATAAGAATACGAAATTTAATGTTAAATAAGAACATTTTCTGGGAACATTTATCAATGTTATTTGCATAAAGAACAGAATAATGAGGCTGGTGATATTTTCTTAACCACCTTAATCAATTTTAGTGAAGTAATTGTAAACACAACTAAGGCATAAATTTTTGGTCTTGAAATTTCTACAAAAACTTTAGATTTTTTAGTTTTAAGGATTTGCACAAGTTTCTTAACACTAATATTATTGGGCATTTATATTGATACTCTATTCAAAAATTATGCAGATGAACAGGAAAGTTCTGANTTACCAACTTCTGTTGATAAACAGTAAATCCCTGCAAAACTGAATTATTCTTCAATATCATTTTAGAACTTGACCTTATAAAACAAGATATCTTTGATTTTTGAATCAATGAATCAAAAATGCGATTAATTACAGTATTAAATTTATCTTGATTTGCTTACTAATAAATTTTTCCAGATACAAAACAAAATATCTTAAAATTAAGCCATAAAATTATATAAAAAATTTATTATTTTGTTAAGCATCTAGCAAATCTTAAAATCGATTATTGAGTGAAGAAATGTTGAAATATATAACTTATTTTTAAGAGGGAATGCAAAAAATTATTATTGTTAACTCGAAAACCTTTTTAAATTTATGGGAATTAAATTTTTTAATAGATTAAAAGAAGCGGATAAGTATTTAATTAATAATGTAATATTGAATCAACTCAAAAAGATTATCTAATAGACTTTGTTTATTTTAAATAAACGTATTTGTAAACAAATCCATTAAAATTTTCCTCAGATATAGATTATCATCTTTAAAAATAATTTAATGATTAAACTTTAAAAATTTACCCAAAGAATTATTACTAAATTTAATTAAAAAATTTCTATGATGATGGATTTATATCATATGATGAAAATTTTTCATCCTTTTACAGTACTCATTTAGGATCTTATTCAGTTTGCTCCAATAATTATATATTATAAGAATACGAAATTTAATGTTAAATAAGAACATTTTCTGGGAACATTTATCAATGTTATTTGCATAAAGAACAGAATAATGAGGCTGGTGATATTTTCTTAACCACCTTAATCAATTTTAGTGAAGTAATTGTAAACACAACTAAGGCATAAATTTTTGGTCTTGAAATTTCTACAAAAACTTTAGATTTTTTAGTTTTAAGGATTTGCACAAGTTTCTTAACACTAATATTATTGGGCATTTATATTGATACTCTATTCAAAAATTATGCAGATGAACAGGAAAGTTCTGAAACTGAAGAAAATAATTTGAGTCCACCAAATAATTTAGATAACAATTCAATGATGTATTAAGGCAATTCTATGATTTTTAAAGAAAAAATAAAGGTAATATTTATTAAAAGATATATAAATTAATTAATCTATTTCATTATTATATTATCGAGATAAAAACATTCAAATTATTTATAAGATATTGAAAGTTTTTTCCTAATTCAATTTACTTATAACTTTAGCTATTGAAGAATGCTATTTGCTTAATAATTCAATTAAACTAATCATTTTATATGCAATTGCAAATTATATTGTAATTTTGTTTTCGAAGATTTTTTTCAAGATAATAGAAGCAATTTATAGATTTAAAAAAGTAGCAGCTTTTATAAGTCAATTTTTTCTTATTTAGTTTTTGACATTACCAAATTATACTTTATTCATTTTTTATCTATTGAAGTATTTAATAAACTATTTTAGTATATCTACGAAATCAGAATAATATTTAGTTACCATTATCTTTATAGGCAGCCTTCTATTTTCATAAGTATTTATCGAACCTCTTGCAATCCTTTCTCAGAATAATAATAGGCAAACTGATAGCAAAAAGTATAAAAAACATGGATCTTAAGCCTTTATTTCATTTAATGCATTTTTTTTGTTATGCATGGCAGTTTGGAAGATATCTTACAAGAATCTGAAAATATAATATTAATCAATTTAATATTAAGAAATTACTGTAATATTTAATAAACATTTTACAAATTATATAAAATAAATAATTTCTTGTCAATTTAAAAACAAAAAAATATTAATCTAAGTGTTAAAATATAGATACAAAGAGCATATATTAAAGGTTTAAAAGCCAAAAAATACTTATATGAATAAAATGTGAAATTCAAATTTCGATTTTGACATTAAAGTGATAGAAAGCAGAGTCATAATTTGATAATTTCAGCGAAAATGAAAAGATTATTAAAGGGCATAATTTTAAAATTCAATTTTTGAATAAAAAAAATAAAAAATATTAATTCTAAAGTTCAGTCTTGATTTCAAGCATATTATATTAATTAACTTGTTTATATTAATAAAATTTTATAAAATTTTTATTTTAAATTGATATTATCTTAAACTGGAAGACTGTGATATTATACTTAACTTATGAAATTTGCGTCAGAAAAATTAACTTAACAAGAATCTAAAACTTATATTTAATTTATCGCAAATAATCATTTAAATGCTAACTAACATTTAAATGTATTATAGATATGAGTTCTTAGATAATAATTATAATATGTTTTTATGGTCAATAAGGTTGATTATCATCTCAGTAGTTATGGGATGGAGAGATTATTATAAAGATTATCTCTCAATTTTTGGATCTGGTGATGATTAATGTCCTTTAAATCATGTACATGTACCTGGTTTCCATCCACATTAATGTCTGTGTAATTGGTAGTAATATATTTTAGCTATTTCTGAAGTTTGTATAGGAGTAACAAAAGTAGAAGTTAGAATTCTTTTTAAAGATTAACATTTATGTCATCCCAGATTCAAAACAACTAAAATGAAAATAGATAATACAACTGTAATTTGTTAGGATGGTTATATGTTGTAAATAGATTTAACATTAGACTAGAATTTCATTTACTCATGTGTTCGTAAGAATATTTATTATATATAATAGCTGCTTGGGAAGGAAAATGTTATATATATTACAATTCACCAAGAAACAGAGGATGTTATAGATGTTATAACTTTTAATCTTAAATTACTTTCTATCATCTTATTTATTTTAATTTATAATATTCAATTTATTTTAATCTTCATATTTTGATTTAGAATATTTATATATAAGGATCATCTTTAACTTTATCTCTTAATTTATTTTTAATAATCAACTTATCAACATTTTTCTTCCAATTTCTTCAATTAGTAATACACAATTTTTATTCCATCACTTGTTAATTAATATTAATATGCTTATATTCATTGTAAATTCTTTTTGCATCTCTCTTGTTTTATTTTCTTACTGCTAATAACATTATACTTAAAAAGTCAAAACTTTTTTTTTGTCAATATTTAAAATTAAAATGACTAAATTTGTATAAGGAATAATATCGATTAAGAAATATAATTTGACTTATTTGAATAGCATGATTAACTATTAATCATAACTATTTAAATTGATCAATGCATCATAATATATGTTATTATTAAATTGCTATTATTCTGTGGCATTTGATATAGATATGTTTATCATTTTCAATTTAAATAATAAACCTTTAACTTGCCTTTCTAACATACGTAAGAATCTGCCATATCTCTTCTGCATTCTATTTATACACATTCAAATATATTGTTTTTGCATATTAACCTTATTCTAGCTTTGTGATAATAATTATATATAATAGTTATCTTAATATTTAATAAATATTCTTTATTTTAATTTTATTGATCACAGCTTCTATTGTTTCTGGAAAACATTTGATGTTTGCTAAGTTTACGCTTATTTATTCTAATTCAAAGTTTATTCTTCCATTTATATTTTTATCTGGTAACTTTTAATTACTTGATCCAATTATTCATTATCTTACCTTCTTCTCTTGT